ACACCAGGGCCCGAGCCCTATTTGTTGCCTGGGCATCGCTGTCTCACATCAGGGCTATGCTAGCAGCAGACTGGGGCAGGCAGTGCAGGGACCAGGGACAGGGGCTCCCCAAGAGCCAGGGCACAGCTGGCAGCATGGCCTTGTGACGGTCAAGAACTACCAATCAGCAGAAGCCCACGGGCCAGGACAGGACCGGCTCACAGAGCACTGGCCGGTCACAGGCTCCTCAGCAGGCCAAGTGCTGGCGTTCATGAACACCGAGTGATTCCACATCCCAAATATAGGCAGGTGCCAGGAAGGAAAACGAAAGAGGATAAGATCCTGGGATAAGAGTGAGCCCACTCACGGGGAGCCAGCCCTGGGTTCGCAGGGGGCGAACGAGGGACCAACGCAGGAAGGAGAAAGAGTTACCGTAGCAATGCAGGAGCTCCTGGCCGGCCAACACCGCCTGGGCAGTGCGGACAGTGACCAGGTTGGACTGGAAGGAGACGCTGGTGTTGGGCGAGCAGGAGTGGATCAGCAGGCTGAGGGTGGGGAATATCGCCGTGGCGATCCGGACTTCAGCACTGGACTGCACTGCAGAGTCACCGACACCTGGGGTCAGAGGTCAGAGGTCAGAGAGCAGCACCTGTTGGCACATTCTTGTACTGACATTCGTTCAATGCTGCTTGCCTGCTTGTCATTATAAGCTGCCTTGACCTCTTGGTAATGTGCCAGCAAGGGCCTGCACACCGCCAGCATTACGAGGTCTGTGAGATGTAAGGTTGGTGAAGTTCCTCACCTGTGTCTCTCACTGCAGTTATAGCTTGGGCGTTGCACCTCAGCTGCAGCATGTGCCTCAGTGCTGCTGCTCCCAGCATGCCCAACTCCAAAGGCCGCCCCTGTCTCTCGTCCTCCGTCTCACTCTGTGATTGGCTCCCACTCCTGTCACGCGGGGAAGCTCCGCCCCCTTTCTCAGACAGGGGCCCCGCCCCCTGCAGCCTGAGACAGAGCGTTGCCACAGTAACGGCGCACAGGAAGCGCAGGCTGGGGGCGTGTCTGTGCGTGTGCGGGAGCAGGTGATGGACACACAGGTAAGAGGAGCCCAGGTAGCGGCCTGAGGGGTCACATCCAGGTACTGGGGTGCTGTTTGTGGAGCCGTCCACATCAGGTTGATCAGACTTTTCCCTGGTGCTCATCCTGTCCAGAGTTTCTTCGTCCCCCCTGCCCTGGTCCTGCACTCTCTTGATTTCCTCGCACCCGGCCTGCAGTGCCACCCGGAGTGCCAAGTGTGCCAGCACCCCCGCCGCCAGCAGCTCCCCCCCCAGCGGGCACTCCCAGCGATGGCACCCCTCCCACGCCTGCTCTCGACATTCCTCCCCGCAGTAACGGGCGTAACTGCAGCCCTGGCAAGGCACAGGGGAGAGCGCCCTGCGCAGGCAGCGATGGCAGTGCCAGTCCTCCGTGCCCGCGGCCCCCCTCTCCACCGCGGGTCTGACCGCTTCCTCGGGGATCAGCACGCAGCTGAACGCCTCCTCTTGCACCACCACCTCCCCGGGCGCAATGTCGGCCGCGGCCAGCAGGTGGCGACCCTTGCCGAGGCCGAAGCGCAGGGCTACGGCAGGAGACGCGCAGAGCAGGGTCCCGGTCAGGCTGCCGCTCTGTGCCTGCGGTGCCTGGCGCTCCATAACCCTTTCCCCGGCGGTACGGATCTCCGCACTGGCACTGCCCTCCTCCTCCTCCTCCCTTGCCCGCTCGAGCTGAGAGAGGCACTCTGCCCGCCTGGCCAGCAGCTTGGGCTCCAGGTGTCCGGGGTAGCCCTGGCTCAGCGCCCTGCGGATGTCCCGCAGGCACTCCTGCGAAAACAAGCAGCTGGTTTTCGGATCGGACCCACAACAACCCGGGACGTCTGTCACCACGTACCAGGTTGTCACCGAGAGCCTAACTAGACAAGGTGCAGCGGTGTGGTTTGGTCATTTATGGGTCCAATCAAGATCAAAAATCACCCG